AAAATTTATTTCTTACTGTCATTAAATATATATTATCATATTAAAATATGAATATGGTAATTTTAAACATTAAATCTCAAATATATTTATTAGCCTTAATTTACTACAAAAAAATACTAATATTGTAGAAAATTTGCTAAAATGGCTTATTATCAAGATTTACATTGCTGAAAACTCAATTGGTTGATATGTTGGTTTAAAGGTTAAGGGTCGAAAATGTACAGAGTGAATTTTTGGTAGACTTATCATAAACAAATCATTTCATTTAACTAATTAAGAGAGTGATTCAATGATTTATTAGTTCAACTAGTCAGGTTAACATGATTTTTAGTACTATGCTTATTATTTAATTTTTTAAATAAAAACAGTGGGATATAGTTGTAGCATGGTCCAAATTGTGGGCTCATGATGAAGTTGAAGAGGGCGATCAAGATGAGTGAATATTAAAGAAATGCAAGTTAGAGAGGGAATATGTGATGGAGATCACTTGATATTATGGGATACCAAGTCCCACGTTGAATAATTGAGTAAAATGGAATGCTTAATGGATATCCATCACAATGCAAGTTGGGGAGGGAATGGATATGTTATAGCTGGCAGCTAAGATTTGTGTAATAAATCTGGTGTGGATAATTTTCAATGTCAAGATCTAAACAAGGCAAAAGAGGCTTCATGCCGACACTGTGGAGCACGTAACTCTCCCCCAACGATATTTATGCTTCCTACTTGACCACGCCTTCCTTCCTTTAGCCTCCCCTCCCTACTCTTTACATTATATCTCACCTCCTATAAAGAGGTTTTGATGAGTTATTTTAAAAAATTTGTCTACTACATTAATCAAATGTTTGTAGAAAGTAAGCAATGGGTTGTCATCAATACAATTTTAAAGAAAGAGCTTATTTAAAAAAAAAATAACATATTAGAAAGGAGAGCCTGTTATACTTATAAACTTCATTTTATTTATGAGACTTCTCAAGGTAGGACTCATGACATGAAGAATTTTATGAATAAAAAAGGTATTTGAGAAAGAGGTGAATGGTTTAAAGGACCGTGTGAGATAAATGAGATGGTTGCAAAATGGTTGGCTGCGTTGAGACTTGGGGCTCTTAAATATATGAAACATGTCAAAATTAGGGTCACACGCACAATTGCGCAACACCACCACCACCACAATTGCTTCGTAATAAAGTTGGAGCCTCGGAGGATAACTTTGAGCTCCCAATGCCCACGTGCGCTTTACGCACGCCTTAAAACCTCATACTGCATTGTTTCATGTATGTATGATTTTATTTTTCATTGTTCACATGTATTATTTTATTAGAAGTAATTTTGTTTAAGGTATGGCTGGATATTAAATATGGACACTTCTCTCACTAAAAATTTGAATATTAGTTTGTCATATTATGAGGGACTGGTTTCTTCTACTAAACTCAATTAGCATTGGTGGTTTTATGTAAAGTTGATAATATGGATTGAGTTTTATGGGTGAGTTTGAATAATTTGATACTCCTTTTATTTTAAATTATAAGACACTTTCAAAAAAAAATTTATATACCAATAAACCTAATTAAATATACTTAACAATCTTATTTTTTCAAAATAAAATATAAACTTTCAAAAATATTCTTCATTTCATATATTGAAAAGAAAGAGGGATGTAAATTAAATAAAGAGAAAAGATAATATTAAAATATATCCATTTAATGAAACCTTAGTCTCTTTAAAATATTTTATATTTTGAGATGTCAACTCAACCACAAAAATGTCTTTTAACTTGGGACAAGAGAAGTATAACGATCATATTGGATTTGGTTGGAAAAAAAAAAAGAATCTTTTCTGGCATAGACTAGATAACAAGTTAACCAAATAAATAGCCCTAATAAGTTAATGTTGGCCTGTTTAAACTTATAAATCAATTCCAACTTCTTAAAACTTTCCTAGAAAATTATTCTAATTTTTCCAACGTATCCTTTACATTGTTCATTAACATTGTGAATAAAAAGGGTATTTTGTTTTTAATATTAAAAATTTATTTAACGAAAAAATTATTTGAACTTCTTTGGAGTTAAAAAGTGAAAGTGATTAGCTATGGATTTAATTTTATCATGTGATGATTATTTCGACGAATGTGTATAAACAGAACAAATCAAAACACCACAATAGATACCTTAATTTGAAGGTGGCACTTGCTATGTGTATCCCAATGTGACATTTTTATGATTTTATAATATTTTGTTGTATATATAAAAAAAAAAGATTTGTATCCCAATGGCTGACGATTTTTTCAAAAACAAAAAGGTTGTAATAACCGTTGGCCAATAACCAATGATGCTATGGTGGTTATGGTCATATGATGACCATGAAATCCCATGAGATATTTTTGACAGAAAGTTTAAATGAGATATGATACTTCTTTGATTTTAACATCTATTTATAGCCGATAAGAAAAGAAGTAGAAAAGAAAAGTTAACATACTTAGTTTTAAAAATGATAGATGAGGACTTGTTGCCTAACTCTGATCTCTTTGTTACTTAGTGTCTACTTTCAAGCAACTATTCACATTTTGATTTGATTCATCATATCATCATTTTATTAAATATCAGCTATCGTTGTTGAGGAACTCAATCATTCATCAAGACCAGTTCCTAACTCTGGTCTTTTGCTAAGAGATTTAAGAGTCAGTGCTACTTTCTAGATCAAATTGATTTGTCACTGGTCTTCTTCCCGTCAGGGCCATTTTCTTAAATTATTTTTGGTAAGATACAAATGATATAGGCTTTATTAATAGCAAAATTTAGTTTACAAGTGTATGTAATCATATAAGCTAGGCTATATTAAATGCGTAAGAGATGAGATTAAAATTCCAACTCGTTGTTTTAGTAATAATTATAATGAAACGCATAGTCCGTATAACAATATGATTTGGCAAAAAAATGAAACATCAAATTAAATATAAAAATAACAAAATTATTTTCAACCACATAAATCATTTTGGTAAAAATCTTGAAATAATTAAAAAAATAAACTAAATATATGATTCCACTAAAAATACAAGAATTAGAATTAAACGGTTTCATATAAAAGTCTTTATATAAAAATAATCATTCATTATACCTAAATTATTCTAAAATTTCAAAGCTCTCTCACTATCAACTGCTTCAAATTTTCAATATCTCACCCTCAACTTCGCTCCTCCCAATATTTTAAATCTAAAGATCTTTTTTTACTTATAAAATTTAGATATAAAGTTATAGATTTAATTATACTTCCTCTTCCCTCTGACAAATTTTGCACCCCAACCCCTCATTTAAATTTAGGTGACTATCATCTTTTTGTCCCCTTTTTCTTCCTCCTTCCTTGTTCATTATTCATATACTTAGAAGTATCTTTCCCAATCCAATGATACTTTTGAATATGATGATTCTCATGTTCAAGCCAGTAAGGAGAATAGTAATCTAAGTGCCCGTTTGGATTTCAATTGAGTATAATAGATTATAAAAATAATTAATTAAATGATAGATTTTAATTATAATTGATTATGTTATAACGTAATGTATTTGAATACTATTTTTTAAAATTAATTTTAACAGAATTGAAGATGTTTGAATAATTTAATCACAATTAATTTTTAGCTATATAAATTACTATATAATTTAATGTTTAAATACCAAATATCAATTTTTTGAAGATACAAAGTTTAACTTTTACTAAGAAAAAAAAGGAAAAAGAAAAGAGTTTGATTTTATTTTTATTAAATTATGTGCTTTCTGTGTAATTTTTTCTTGAGCCTGTATTTGTAATTTTTTCCAACATTTTTGACAAACTTTTGGTAGAAAGTGAACGGAGGGAGCTTCTAGAAAAACAGGCATTTTGTCACATAATCGATTTTCGATCATTTTCAACTGTTTGGATAAACTGGCAGAAAAAATCCATTTTGGGGTCCAAAATCAATTTTTCCCCTTATCCAAACAGGCACTAACTCTCGTTCCAAATTTATGTGATTATTAACTTTTAACAACTTTTTAGCCAATAAGAGAAGAAATAAAAGAGAAAAATTAACATCCTAATTTTTAAAAGCAAAGATAAAGACATATTACCTCTAAAAAGAACGAATCTAAACAAAAAGGTCCAGCTATAGTATTAGCAATTTCTTCACTCCCTGCTATGGTATGCAGGATTTTTTCTTGCCTTCCTCGTGTCCTTGCTTTATTTTAATTTTCAACATAAATTTATTGGTAAAACTGACAATTATCTTGCACATTTATTTAAAGAAAATCAATTTCTTACTCTCATTCACTATATATTATCATATTTAACATATTATAATCTTATTTTTTAAAAAACAAAAACATAAACTTTTAAAAATGTTCTTTATTTAATACTCCATTTTTAAAATAATATTAAAAAGAGAATATAATGATAAAGATAATATTCAAAAATAATAATTAATGAAACCTTTCTTATATAAAAATAAAATTTAGGTGCTCAAAGAACACTTACAAGTTCCTTATATCGGCAATGGGATTTGAACTTATATCCTTGTAAGTTATGGGCCAATTGTATTATATTATTACCAATTGAACCATTTTTTTTTTAATTTTTTCTTTGATAAACAATGAAACCTTAATTTCGTTAAAGTATTTTATATTTTGTGATGTTAAATCTTCTTAAAAGTATTTTATAAATTGAGGTGAAGGTATTATGACTTTGTGTCTATATCTATATAAATCTCAGATCCTATTTCACTATTAGACAACACTCTTAGCTTGGCCATGGATTATTTAAACACTTGTGCTCGTGCTTACTTTCTATTCTCATGCCTCTGTATCGTCGTCTCCTTCCAACAAAACCAAAACCCTAAAAAATCTTCGAAGCTCCCACCAGGCCCTCCTCTATTTTCGATCATAAGAAACATCTTAGAAATCAGCAAAAATCCTCAGCAATCACTCTCTAAACTCTTAAAAACCTATGGCTCTCTTATGACTGTCAAACTAGGCACCATGACAACCATAGTTATTTCCTCTCCAGACATGGCTAAAGAAGCGCTTCATAAACACGACTTCGCTTTTTTAGGTCGAACATTCTCTCACTCACTTCAAACATTTGACCACCACAGACTCTCTGTCATATTTTCGGATCCTTCAGTTCATTGGAAGACTCTGAGGAGAACCTGTGTCTCCAAAATATTATCGTCTTTCCAGCTTGATTCCACGCAGAATTTGCGTTTAAGGAAGTTGCAGGAAATGTTAGAGTACGTGAATGAATGTTGCAAAAAAGGTGATGATGCTTTGCATATTCGTGAAGTTACCTTCGCGACATGTATTAATTCTCTATTTAGTAAGCTTTTCTCCATTGACGTCCATGGTTTTTCTTCTGATTTATCTCGAGAGTTTAGAGATAGTATATGGGGTATAATGGAAGAAGTTGGGAAACCTAATGTTGTAGATTTTTTGCTGTTCTTCGAGTAATTGATCCACAAGGTGCACGCTCGAGAATGGACAATGCTGTTGGAAAGTTGTTCAAGATGCTCAATGATATTGTTGGAGAAAGAATGGAAGTGATTGGAGCCTCAAAAATGGAGTCACAGAATTTCAGTGATGTGTTAGGTTCCTTGCTCTGTCAAAAGGAAGACAAACCTCAACTGGGTTGTTTGGACATCGTGCATTTGTTTGCAGTAAGTGTCTCTAAGAATTTTCTATTCTTCGTGTCAATAAATGAAACAACCTGCGTCGTCGGAGATGTAGTGTGGGGATGCATTTATGGTCTTGTTCAAAGAAAACCTGAAAAAGTTTATATTCTTCAACTGAAATCTTCATTAAAAAGTTTATATTCTTCAACTGAAATCTTTATTGTTTCAAAACTAAAGTATACAAAACTTATCTAAATTTTGAGATAGCTGTATATAACACTACTCACATTTAAAAATATAAAATTAACATTTCCAACCTTCAATTTTTTAGGGAGAACTACATTCAAGAACCACTCAAAGAAATTATTCACAGATAAGGACTAATATAAAATGGATTGTTATTAAAATAGGAATGGGATTTATTTTTTTTCAAATGAGATTTGTTGTTAGTCTTTGTTTAAGAATAATTTGCTTGAGTGGTCTTTGGATGTTATTCTCCCTTTTTTTTTTTTACCATAGACTCCTTATATTGGTAATTTTTTAGTTATCTTACTAATAGAAGTTATTATATTATATTAAAAAAAGACACGTAGTAAATTATGTGGCATTTGATGTAAACTAATGATCAGCAGCTTTGCTCAGCATCTGATGCCGATTGTCAGCTAAAAATTTATCCATACATATTTTTTTGGTTACCATTAGCTTGCATTGAATGCCACAAAAGTTGCCATGTTTCTTTTTTTAGTATGACATAGTAACTTCTATTAGTAAGATAACTCAAAAATAACAATAAGAGTAAATGGAATTGGATGCTCCATCACCATAACCCCTACAATCTCCATAATTACTCTCCTACCCATGAGCCATAATAAGTGTTTGTAACCTGCATATACATCCAATAAGTCCTTTTAATACGCATAACCTCTTCCATTATAACCCCATTAATCTCATAAAATAATTGTAAACCCTCATTAAGTATCATAACCTCTCATTAAGCAATTGTAACTCCTTTTTATTTTTTTTAGTTTTAAATGCTTTGTCCAGGAGATTACCTTTATGAACGACTAAAAATAGAGCATTGTCATTCTCTTTGTTTTTAGAATCATGGAATAATATAATTTTTTTTTATCAAAAGTAAGAAAGTGTGCTTCATTTTCCCTAGCTCTTAAGCCAAGCAGAGTTGCATGTGGTAAAAAAAAAATTAAAGGTTAAATAGGTTAATTTTAAACTTTTAAAAGTAAAAAGATTTTGTACAACTGCCTTAAAATTCAAGAAACTTTTGTATATGTTAGGCTTCTTTTAAAGTATTAGTTAAAAATTAAAGCAGATTATATTATTTTAAAGAATTATATTGTTAAGTTGAGATGGGTGATATTGTGTGGTGGCCATGGTCAGCCACATGTAATGATATGCAATTGATCAGCACAATCTCATCAATCGAAGATAATAGGTTATTATTTTCAGTGTGTACTACATTGCTGATCATGTTGCTATCATGTTCTATAGGATTTGTTGGTTGCAGGGACTGAGACAACGTCAAGTACAGTGGAATGGGCAATGGCGAAGCTATTAAGTAATCCAGAAAAATTGGAAAAACTCAAAAAAGAAATTCAACAAGCCATTGGTGAACAAGATCACATTAAAATAATAGAATCACATGTTTCAAAATTGCCATTCTTAAGGGCAGTGATGAAGGAAACTCTTCGCTTACACCCACCAGGTTCTTTTGTTAGTACCTCACAAGGCACTTGAAGATGTAGAGATTGTGGCTTCATAGTGCCAAAAAATGCACAAATTCTTGTCAACATATGCGCTATGGGAAGGGACTCAACCATATGGTGTGACCTAAACCAGTTCATGCCTGAAAGATTTTTGGGGAGTGAAATTGTTCCTGAAGGTCATGATTTTGAACTGATTCCTTTCGGAGCAGGATGAAGAATATGCCTCAGATTGCCATTGGCTTTAAGATCAGTTCACTTAATGTTGGCATCTCTCATCCACAAGTATAATTGGAAGCTTGCAGATGATCTCCATCCTCATGAAACAGACATGGAGGAGAAATTTGGGCTTGCATTAACTAGGGTTCATCCTCATAGAGCTATTCCAACCAAAGTTTAAGAACAACTAGAATAATTCCGGCACTAGATTGTTCAAATTACTGTAAAAGAATTGCACTGCATGCCCCAAGAATGAAAATAATCAACAGTACCGACAAAAAAAAAGGAAGAAAAAAGGAGAGTAATAAATGATTCTCATCCCTCTTGATGTGTAATAGACTGAATACAACCATATGTCTTCAGATTGTCATTGTTGTTTGCTAGTTCATGGAGATACGACTGCCCTCAACCCTTCATTGTTCTCATGGTAACAATGGAGTTTCTATTCCTAGGAGAATCCTTCTGATGCTGTATTTCCTTGGCTAGCTCCTTGGTGGGTTCGAATAAAAGGAGGTTTAGAAGTATTACTTACCTAGTATGCTTACTAGGTCCTCTTCACTGGCACTTGCATTTAATTTCAACATATTGGTTGTTCAGTCATAGTTATCGTGCGTTTGTTTGTTTGTTTGTTTGTTTTTGCATTTTTTTTTCCATGTGCTTTTCGGTTATGGGTTGTTGTTTCAGTGTACAAGGCCTGGGGAAATAGCTTTCCTATTTTCTTGAACTTTAATGTTGTAATCCTTTTACTTTGTTTTTTTAATAAAGTTTACTTCTTGATGATGATGATGATACAATTATATGTCATTGTTTATCCTGCGAACACTATATTTTGTTCAACATTTTAAAAATTAAAGAAATATAAAAGATAGAAAAAGATAACAATATAATAAAAATGGAAAATGACTTTTTTTTTCTTCGTTAGTCATTTAAAAAATATAAAAAAACCAAAAGAGAAAAAGAGAAAAAAAATTATTATCTTTTGTTTTAAAGTTTAAGAAATAAGAAAATCTAGGATTAAGGAGAGATCCTTTATTCCAAATAGGAGAAATTTTTTATACTTAGCCTTATATATTTAAAATGCTTGTTTTTAATTAAATCAAGACATGTGTATCATTTATAGATTATTTATTTAATAATAAATTCTTATTATTAATATTATGAACACATTAAAATTCACTTGTTTTGGCTTGATGGGATATGAGTATATTAAGTTTATAAAACTAAATACAGAAGTCTTGTCCGTCTAAATAATCTTTCTTTTTAAAATTAGAATTGAAAATGTGGCACAAATAATGACTTATATATAATGTCATTATAAAAAACAAAAAGGCTGGCAATAATAATGATGATGATATAACTGAAAGGTTAAACGCTGTGTTTAACACTTCGGCATTTAACCCTTGAGTTCAAGACCCAACCTTAACAATGAACCACGTGCACTCCACACCCACGATCAAGTCTAAACGCACAGTAGATATGGGGAAGAGGAAGAAGGCCCTGTCATATTCTCGTCTCCCGTGCAAGTCCAGAAAAGGGGTAACCTATATCTGCTTTTGTGGATTATTCACTACAAAATTTCATCACAAGTAGAAAATAGCAGAGATTGGCAGTGAAGGTGGGCTTTGCAGGAGAGGAAATTTTTTCTAAATTCTCCTGATTTTTACCCCCACAAAATACTCCTAAAAATAATTCATTAATTTTCATAATAAAATAAAGTTGAAAAACTTCTTTATCTCCTTTTGTGGCATGATTTTGACTTGTATTCTTTTGAAATTATATATTAACCTATTCCCATTCTATCCTTAAAAAAGAAAAAAAAAAACCTATTAATTTGACCGATATTTTCAAGCTCATTTAGAGGCATTGAAGCATTTTGGGAATTATTTTGCATTATGCATGTGAAAATCAATTTGGATGTATGTATGATTGTTTTATTTGAACGTGTAGATATTTTGAGGGTGGGTCACATCATCAATATCAGCTATATTAATGACATACTACCTTCATTTGATATATAAGTAATTTTTTCGAAGTTTTAAGATACAAAATATATATTTGTTATTTCTGTATCATTAAATTCTCATTTTTACAAATATCCTTCACTAATTTCCTGTGTACTTTTCTATACTTTTATTGGTTATTTTTTGAAATTTTTTTGTTTAGCTAATAGTTAAAATTAACTTTTTTGACCAAAAAAATATCCAAATATATTATTGTCAAATACCAAAAGAAAAAATTGTGCCAAATTCAGTAAACCTAGGAGATATTCTGTCACATCCTGAAATATAGGAGTAACCAGCAAGGAATGTACACTTAAACACCCGTCCCTTAAAACCTCAATTAAAAAAAGTTCTAAAATAATACATTTGACTTACTATCTGCTTAATTGTACACTTGTAAATTTACTTTTCACACAATCAAACTATCAATTTTTTTAAAACAAATTTTGACAACACCTCACATATGAGTAGAATCTCTTAAAATCTTTACAATAAAAATTTGACAATTTATACCCAGTAATATGGAATTCCATTCCTCAACAACAGATAGACAATATAACAAAGAAAATCAAAACCCTAACTATAGTCTATGTGGAGCGCCTAATTATATTTTCATGACATAATTCATAAATTCACATTTACATAAATAGAAAATATTTACAGAATAAATCTCCACCAAGCTTAGCAAAGATTCTCTCATTAGATGCAGGACGTACAATGTCAGCTACACTATCTCAGACTGAGACCAAAATAACTTTCCAGTGAATAACGTCCCAACGATAAATAATTGAACATAAAATAAGGAAAATTTGAAGCAATTATGTAAGTTAAACAGATAACGATTTTTATAAAAATATTTTAATAAATTCTAAAATAAGAGAAATTTTATATAACTTTAAATA